TATCTATCTATCTATCTATCTATCTATCTATCTATCTATCTATCTATCTATCTATCTATCTATCTATCTATCTATCTATCTATCTATCAGATAATTAATCTCTATCTATTAATTATTCCAATTGTACGAGTTGAAAGGTATTTTGCTCCAGAGTCTTGGAATCTGGTCCCAGACCAAAGGATCCACATTAGCATCCATCTAAGCTTAGTTTTATCAATCGTTTTGCTGAGAGCTGGACCTGGTGTCTGGTGTTTTGGACTGTAAATTCTGAAGTGGAGGACCTAAAGGTCTGAACCTGTTCTCCTCTGCAGGTCTGGTCAGGCAACACCCAGAACGCTGAGGACCTGCTGGTGACAGGCTGTGGATCATCAGCACCGCAACCCGTTGTTGCTCCATATAACATCATCTCCAGCCGGTTCCAAGCCACTGGCACCCCCGGCACTGGTTTCTCTATGACCTTCAGCACCCGTAAGATTCTGGTTGGATTCTAAGGACCTGATCTCCAAACATTCCTAATCAGAGTCACTGAACTGCACCTGCAGTCCCTTTAGTCGATGTGCCTCTTCTGATCTATAGAGATTGTAAACCAGTTGGTTTTGCTCGTTAAAATGATCCGTTTGTGGTTTCTACTGGGAGTGAATGAAGAAGAGGTTCTAAGCCATGAAGCTGGAGCTCATTTAGATCATATATCAGCTGAGATAGGAAGCCTTTCCTAAAAAGCTACTGGATTTATTATTATTTCTATACTGATGACCCAATGTTTAAGTTCTGATGTTTTTTCCTTAAACTGTTTAAAGTTGTCTGCATTCACTGTGATACAATGATTTCATAAAGTCTTAAAGTCGCTGTGTTCTTTCCCTGAGGCTGTGGCGCCCGGTTCAGTGGCTCCCAGGGCCGTGTAGTCTCTCCTAACTTCCCAGCTCACTACCCTGACCACGCTAACTGCAACTACACTGTAGATGCCGGGGAGCAGACGGTGGTTGTCCTCAGCTTTCAGGTCTTCCAGATTGAGGGTATGTGTAGAAGAACTAGCAAACAGCTGTTCACCTGAGTTCACCTGCCTGGCCGTACCCAGACTTTATTTTGTCCCTTTTCTAGCACATTCCACCTGTATGTTTGATGGCCTAAAGATCTACAGCCCAGCTACCAGCAGCACTGCAATGGCCACTCTGTGTGGTACCGACCTCCCGGGGCCGTTCTCCTCCCTCGGTCCCATGATGCTCCACTTCTACTCGGACTCTGTGATCAACGACAGCGGCTTCCTGGCTGAATACGTAGCCATACGTGAGTAAAGCCAACAACCAAATGCTGTCTTTGACAGAACTGAAGACCGGCTGAAGGAAGGTATTAGGAGGCTGTTAAAGGAAACAGAGCCTCTGGGTCCCCACCCCGTTTCTCTTATCCAGACCAGTTGAGAAGTTGAAAGTAACCCCCCCAATGGGCCCAGTATGGGAGTTGTCTATGGCTGAGGTTTGGCTGACCGTGGAATCCTGTCCGGTGGTGTAGTCCTCCATAAACACAGAGTCCTTCCTGTTCTTCCTTCAGAAACACACTTATTTCACATGGCTGCTTAAATCAAGCTCTCCTCCTCTGAGATTCACACCTGATGACGTCTATAAACCTGCTCATTGCCGTGTGTGTCTGTGCTTCTAGCCTGTGGCGGTTTCTTCAACGGCAGTGCCGGTTCTGTGAGCAGTCCAGCCCTCTCCATCACCAATTACCACCACAACATGAACTGTACCTACCACATCAGCGTCGAGGCAGACCGAGTGGTGGATCTAAAGTAAGGGTTCAGGTCTACATGGAGGGACTGGTCCTGGAGAAGGGAGACCTTGACTCTGGTCTCTCCTGTCTGTCTCTATAGGTTTAACACCTTCAGTTTGGAAGCTTCTTCTTCATGTCACTACGATTATGTGGCTGTGTACGATGGGCCTGACACCTTGGCGCCTTTGCTGGGAAGGTTCTGTGGTACGGTGCTGCCCCCTGACCTCCGCTCTTCTGCCAACCATCTGTTCCTGGTCTTCAGGACAGACGCAACGGTGGGCGGCATTGGATGGAGAGCTACCTACAGTCAGACACTGGGTGAGTGCACTGTTCAGTGTCATGTCCTCAGATCAAGTAAACAGAATCAGAAGTTCTTCCTTAAACCAGAGGGTTGCTGGTTCTAACCCCACTTCGCCCATTAGCCTGCTAATGGTGGTCATGGCGGCTGTTCGAAGCGGCCAATGAGAGCGTTTTCTGCTGTTAATGTCTGCAGGTCCAGCTCAGGGTTGTGGGGGGTTCCTCACCACACCTATGGGCAGGTTGGGTTCACCAGATCCAAACCTGGATGGACGCTATGAGCCCAGGATGAACTGTCTGTGGACCATAGAGATGCAGATGAACAGCGCCATCAACCTGACCTTCAGCTCCTTCGACCTGGAGAGCTCCTCTACATGTCGCTATGACTACGTCAAAGTAAAGACTCCTCAGCATCACCTCACTGTTTCCTTAGACTGGAGGTCATAGTGGACTGGGCAAACCCTGGTCTGGACCCCAGTGACCGATAACGTTTGTCCTTCCAGATTTACGATGGAGACAACATGAACTTCCCTCTGGTGGGGACCTACTGTGGAAACTCCATCCCTGCCTACTTCGTGTCCAGTGGAAACTTTCTGACAGTTCAGTTTGTGTCCGACAGCTCAGTCCAAAAGCAAGGATTCAACGCCACCTACAAGGCAGTACCACGTAAGAACCTCCCGTCTCTGTCCTCCGTTCCTCTTCAGTGGTTCTTCATAGGCCAGGAGACCAAATCCATCGACTAACGACAGCAAAAGTGGATCCTCCTCCACCAATGACCACAGTTAATGGACATTGGTCTCTATTGTCTGAAATGAACACCAGGGTTTATGGTCCCAGTTGGACATGTGCAGATAAAAATGTTCTAAATGCTGATCTGAACGGTTCCTTCAAACTGAATGGGTCTCCATTCAGCTGTAACTGGGCCGTCATGGTACTGCTCTCCTAATCTAGACCTCAGCCACTATTTTCCTGTCCTCCTGTCTCCCTGTGTGTCTCTCAGTGCTGTGTGGTGGGACTCTGAACGCTACCGTAGTACCACAAACCCTGACCTCGCCGTCCTTCCCCGGCGCCTACCCTTCATTCACCTCCTGTCGCTGGATCCTGGACGCTCCCCCTCAAGAAACCATTAAAGTCTCTGTCCAGACATTTGTCCTGGATGCTAGCCAGAGCTGCTCAAGCAACTACCTGGAGCTGAAAGATTGGCCTTTGGTGAGTCAAAGAACAGAAACTCTGGATGATGCGTTTAGTAAAGAATGTGTGAAAAGACCGTTTCCTGGAGCGGAACCATGTAATGGTCAGAGAGGCAGAGTTTTTCCCATCTACAGTACACATAGAAAAGGGTCCGGGTATGGTTCTGCAGAACTAAACCCACACTTGGTGTTTCCAGGGAGACTACGGACAGTCCCATAAGTTCTGCGCTTCAGACGGCCGTCCCCAGGACTTCTACAGCTACAGCAGGACGGTCCTGATGTACTTCAAGTCCGATACCTTCCTGCCAGGAAACGGACTCAGCTTCAGCTTCCAGATAGCCAGTGGGTATCAGAACCAGTCCATCCAGACCAGCTGCTTCTGGGCTGGTTGGAGGTGTTGATGAAGCTGACTTTCCTTTGCTTTCATCCTCTGCTTGTGAAGAAGAGTGTTTGTGATGAAGCTCTAAGCTGCTGTTGTTGGTTTCCAGACTGCAGTCGAGTGTATGAGCAGGAATACGGCTACCTGAGCAGCCCGGGATGGCCTGACATCTACCCCCACAACATGGACTGCATCATCATCCTGAAGGCTCCGCAGAACAACTCCATCTCTTTCTTCTTCAACGACTTTGATGTGGAGAGCCACAACAGCTGTGATTTTGACTATTTGGAGGTAAATGTCTCTGGGCTGATGATCCGTAGACGTCTCCCTTCCAGTGACACAGTCAGACCTGGAGGCGTGCCGCGCGCTCGGCCCCAGTAAAGCCTTCCTCTGTTTGGGCTGCCGGTTCTCAACCTCAGGTTCTCCCTGGAGACCAGGAATGTTACTCTGCTGAACCTTTAGGAGCAAAGTTACAAAGTCGCTCACTTTAAGGTTTTCAGGAAGCTGTTCTGGTCACCAGGGAAACATTAGAGCCTCCATTAGCAGGGACAGCAGGATGAGGAGAGGTACGGTTAGGAGACAGAGTCCTGTCTGACAGCTAGGAGATGACTCAGCAGGAACCAGAACAGGTCAAAGGTCAGGGGTACTTCTATTATCAGAGCGATAAAGTAGGCCTTGGAGGAGCAGGGTTCCTGCTTTTTCTCTGCCTACCAGTGAAATCTACCAAACAGACGGCGCTAATAGCTATGCTAACCTGGGAGCCTCTGTCCATCTTCACCTCAGAGAGTGTAGCGATGGGTTCCACCTCGCTCTGTGATCTGGTGGTAGATGATGTAGACCACCCAGGGTGAGACGGTATCATCATCAATCACTGGAGGATTTTCACCCCTGATGAGTTAATCTGGTTTAAACCAGCGACTAGAACCTGGAGCTGGACTCTAGGTCCAGTTTCTCTGTAATCAGGCTTTAGTTTTGATGTTTGATCTCAATCTTCTGTTACTCAGATCCGCAACGGAAGCACAGCAGACTCGCAGCTGATTGGTCGCTTCTGTGGTCAGACACTGCCAAGCCCCATCTTCCCTCAAACCAACCAGCTGTACTTACGATTCAAAAGCGACTTTTCCGCCTCACGAGACGGCTTTGACGCCACCTGGACGTCTTCTCCCCACGGTGAGTCCTCAGACCCCCCAGACTGCAGCCGATGTGTCATGGTGGCGCCGTCCCTTCACTGTGCTTTTTGTAGAGATTTCTCTGAGCTGCAGTTTGTCTAAATGACTGAATCTGCAGCAGCTGCTCAATCCTTTATGGCGATGCAGACCCGACCCTCAGATCTGGTCATGACTTCATCATTTCAGGGAGCTAGGAGTGCTGATCTCTGTTCCTCTGTGCAGGGTGTGGTGGTACCCTGTTTGGAGACCACGGCTCCTTCGCGAGCCCCAACTACCCAGGAAGCTACCCAAACAACACCTACTGTGAATGGAGCATCGTGGCGCCCAGAGGCCGAGTGGTGACCGTCACCTTCACCCAGATCAGCATCGACGACCCCGGAGACTGCCAAAACAACTTCCTGAAGTTATTCGATGGCCCAGACAGCTCCTCAGCAGCTGTTGGTCCTTACTGCGGAGTGGTACGTAGCAAACCTGATCCACCCAGAGAGGCCTGGATGCTGCCCCTCGGTCCCATTTAACACTCTCAAGTTCTGAGCATCAGCTGTTTTTACGTCGTCTTTAATTATAGATCCAACAACCTCTGGTCTGTCAGGTATTTTCCTGTGAAAGAAGCTCGACACAACAATGCTTTACAGGGATATGAGCTCAAACCGAACATATGGAACTTTCTAAAAAAGTTAAAAATCAATCCACTGGACTTTGTTTC